TGATGGAGTCAGAGGTCCCAAGACTCGTTTTCTATGTCCTCGCTGAAACCGTTTCCGCTATATACAAAACTCATCAACACTGGCCTCAGATTCTTGAATGGCTTGTGTCGTCTATCGCTTCAAACGACGACGACAAGTTTCGTGAAGTCGCGCTGTTGGTTTTGTGTTCGTTGCCAAACGATTGTTGTTTTCTTGTTTGCGATGCTCTCCGCGACCGCCGCCGCCTTCTTCATTCGTCGTTCTTGATTTCTCTGGCGTCGTCGAACCCTAACGTTCAGGTTGCGTCGTTTGGTGCGGTTGTGAGTTTGGTTCAGTTGTTCTCTGATCCTTCACTGTTCCATGAGCTCTTACGCGCGATGATGGCTGGCGTGTTCACACTATTGCACGGTTTCGAAGGTACCTATTTTCGAATCGCGTTCGTTGAGTTGATAAATCTGGTGTCTCAAGAGCCTCTTCTGTTGAAGCCTTACGTGAGTGACATGGTTCTCGACGCGCTTCAGATCGCGGAGAGTGAGGGTTTGACCAATGAAACGCATCGTTTGGCGTTTGAGTTGGTTATGGCCATGACTGAGGTAAAAGAGTACGGTGAACACGTGTGGCTGAACCTTCCTTCTCAAACTGTGGTTAGGTTGTTCCTCGTTTCTATGAAAATGCTTCTGTGTATTGAAGAGGATGGTGGTGTTGGTGACCATGACCATGACCATGACTTTGGAATAAAGTGTTTGAAACAACTTTGTGTTACACTTGGAGGGAGTAAAGTATTGGCAATTGCTTCAGAACTGTTGCCTCTTTACTTGGATTCCAAGGAATGGAAGAAGCGCCATGCTGGAATTACACTGCTTACTGTGATCTCAAAAGAGTTCTCTGATGAAATGGTGACCTCATCATCTTAACAACTCTCTTTGCTTTGCTTTCATATATATTAATAACTTTTTTACTTAATTGCTGGTGAGGTTTACTACTTTCTCACACTGTCTAACCTTTGTTTATTAATTACATTTTTGGCAGGTATTGATGGAAAATTTTCTTGGGGAAGTGCTGACCAAAGTTTTGAATTCATTCCAAGACTCTCATGCTCAAGTTAGGTTGGCAGCTTTTAATTTTATGGAGACGCCTACAAACTTTGTCCATGTGGCGCAAACCCTTTATCATCCTAGGCTTCTGAATGCTTTTTCTATTGCACTTGACAATGATCAGGACTATAAAGTGAAGGTATTGTAGATATATAGATGTGAAATTGAATTTGAATTTACTTGCATCATGTTAAAGCTGATTATTATGATCTACAAACTTCCATAACCCATAGATAGTTGCTTCATTTCCCTGAAACATAAATACAGGAGAAACAACTCTGAAGTACATATAAACTCACTTTGCTAGTAGTCTAGGGGATTAATTCAGTTTTAGATTATTCACTTCATCCATTGCTTCATTTGAATGAATTTTGCTGCTAGTTTTTTGGTATGCCACTCATGACTATATAAACAAAGGTATAATCCCTGGTGTATAGTTAAAAGGTACCTCCTCTTATTATGATCAAGATACATACCTCCTCTCAATCTCATGTTGAAATTTTTTAGCAATTTATCTTTTGATAGTTTTTCTTTGAAATGAACACTTGGGGTGGGATCGTTGGCAATGCTTGGAAGCATGAACAGTGTCTAGATATTTTACTCATCCTTCCATTCTTTATATTTTCACTATCACCGAGCAAGTCATTATTGTTATTATCATCAGCATGTGTGTCTTCTTTATCTTATTTTTCAAACATGTATTATAAGTTAATAATCTTGTGTTTCTTTTATAGGAAAAAGCTGCCTCAGCAATGCTATTCTTTCTAAGGAACACTCTTCCAGAGAGCTTAACTATGTTCAAGGACGTGGACACCGAAATGGGCAAATTGTTGTCATTGCTTCAGGTAAAAATTACAATCTTTTTTTATGCAGGAATTCAGTGTCTGTGGAAAAGTTCCCGGATAATATTTATTACTACCAATAAAGTAGGAATTATCTTTCTTACATTTTCCTTTAGAAATTTTCATCAAGGCTCATAATATTCTAGTTTCCACCATTGTGATATGCTTATTTGATGTTTTTCAGCCATCTGCTTGCAAAGAAGTGTTAAGCAAAGAAGAATTGCTTTGTCAACTTTCAACTTAGTTGCACAGCGGTGTCATGAAGTAGCTCACAAGTAGTCTTGGCGAGAGGATTTTGTTATTAGTAAATCACAATTATTTAGTTGTATTCACATGCCCTAGTTTGCATCATGGTACCATTTTCTTCTTTTTTGTCACCTTTTCCTACACCTCTTAACGTGCACATCTAGACAGACCAGAGGGAAATCATCTGTGTTTGCCCTCAGCAGTTTTTTAATTAAATATCTTTAACATCTCAAAAAAAAAAAAAAAAATTGAGGACAATGAAAAGCACTGTGCTGGAATCTCCATTAACTCTGGTCCACGACACGATCAACTGATTGAGCTTTTTTTTTCTTTTTTTCGCCTCATGAGGTATATCAGAAACTGAGTCCTAGTCCCACTTACCGAAACTGCGACTTATATCACACGTTTTAATTGCTATTGGAAAAGCAGCACCCCTCATTATGTAATATATACACAATTATACATTATATTGCTGCCACGTCCCACGAGATAATAACTATTTAAATGTCATGGTCTAAGTATCTACATAGCAGGGATTTATATGGCAATGCCTAATTAATGTCTCTTCAAAGTGATCCAAAGATATATAACTACCCTTGTACTGAATTATGGAACGCTTTAAACGCAACAACCAATTCCAACCTATAGGAATACCCAAGTAGGTATTTCCTTTTTCCAAACGTGGAAAAAATTTAAAGGTGGCCAGAAAAAAAATTTCAAAAATGAAAATAAAAATTTTTATATTTGAAAAAAAGGAGTACCCACCACCGTATCACTATGTATAGTTTTGTTCCCTTGTTATAAGGTTGCTCCCGGTCTGTGTCAGTCATGGCTGACATGCACAAGATCAAATAGCTGTCTCTCCGTCAATTGTGTGGGTCACCTTTTTTTCTCATCTGCTATACCTAATTTCCAATATTTCTTATTAGGATAAGTAGATGAAATGAAATCTAAAGGGTCCTTGCTTGCCATAAATTTATTATGGGGTCAAAGTTTAGCAAGGAAATTATCTCTTACAATATTAAAAACATTAATCTCATAAATAAAATGATATATGATGAATGTTTAGACTAGATTACTTAACTAATATTGATGATGCATAACATATATTTAATTGATGGGTTTTATAATTCTCATTTAACATGATAATTTGAATTTTCCTACACACCCTTCGATTTCTGTGTCAACGTGGGTCCTACACATAATTTTTTCTTACATACGGGTCCCACATGTTTTTTGTCTCTACAACATGAGAATTCAATTCTCATGTTGAATGAGAAATATAAAACCCTTAATTGATATAATTAATAATTGTCTTTTCATTCTCTATTGTGAAAATTATTGAAAATGTTAGGATTCTAATTTCTGTAATTATGTCACGTCAAACGGCCTGGAATAAAAGTTAAAGAAAATAAGGTTATTTTGTAATATCAATTATCTATTGGATCAAAATCATTTTAGACAGTTACATTTCCAATCTTGCATCGTCGATCATATTTATATCTAACGATTCTGATTTATTATATATGTAAGTCATATATACAAAGCAAATCAATGGCTAAATTAAAATTAGGTATAATTTTTTTTATTCTAGTATAAGAATACCTGCCTTAAGCTATTTAATAAGAGTAATTTTGTTAATACGAATATATGATAGTCCATGACTATTTCATCAAACCCTTTTATTTTTATTGAATAGAGTGATATTCCAAACCAAATGTAACCATACTCCATGCACCTGAGGCAAAGAATTGACTCCAACACTTGTTTCTACTTTCTGGGATTCTAGCATGATCCATTATCAAATGGGCTAAAGGAACAACCTACAAAGGATATGACGTGGCAAGATTACTTGCTCTCTCTTTTTTTGGTAATAAATAAAAATTCTTTAGTTATAATAAATGTTAAATAAAATATTTTTATTATGTGGAATGCTTTTATCTTTCATTTTATTTTATTAATTTTTTCAAATTAATCAAAAAAGAGATCGATCTTAACACTTGTTTTTTTTTTTAATAAAAAGTTGCATGTTTCTGATTTTTGTTTTTTTTAACATTATCCTCCGGTAATCTTATAGGTTCCCAACTAATTTGGAGTTCAAGACGGATTTAGAATTAGGATTTTAATCCCCTTTCAAAAATAATATTAAAAAAAATCTAACACATATTTGTATCCTCACTTGTTCAACTTTCACACGTCAATTATTGCATGCTTTTGATTTTGTTTGAACGAGCCCACTTTTGTCTAAATATTAGTAATAAAAACTAGTTTTTGGGACTTCTACCTACAGATCAGGATAATTGATTCTTGCCTCATCTATGACCAACAGTTTTATCAACGTAGGGGTATTAATTTGTCTCCAGCAACCTTATTTGAATCAATACAATACACTTATTTATTTAAATACGGGTATTAATTTGTCTCCAGGCTCCAGCAACCTTATTTGAATCAATACAATACACTTATTTATTTTCTCTCCATGTGCCGGGCGCAACGTCGTTTAACTTCTTGTTCTTTTTGTTAATATATACAGTAGCTTGTAATTAATTCAGTTAGTTAGAAGTCTGTTAGTTAGATGTTAGTTATTTCTGTTATTTACAGTTAAAGAGTCTTTGCTTCCGTGCTTTAGTTTGATTGCTGTTGTATATATATCAGCAATGTAACCTTGAGAATTCATTCAATACATTCAATCTTTTTCATCTTTTATCTAGTTTTCAATATGGTATCAGAGCTCATCTAGAGCTCTGGTATTCACCCTCTCTTGTTCCCAATTCTTCTCAAAAGATTTTCCTTCTTCTTCCTTTCGAAATTTTCTGTTTTCTTTTCATCAATCAAGAAAATGGAAGATGCAGCATCAGCACCAACTCAAAGAGCAGTACCAAACCAGAATACAACACCAGCACCAGAATCCAATCCCTATTACCTACATCCCAATGAAAGCTCATCGCTGGTCTTAGTATCTCCTTCAATGAATGGAAAGAACTTCCACACATGGCAAAGATCAATGCGTATGGCACTCCTATCCAAGAACAAGCTTGGTTTTGTTAATGGAACAATCAAGAAACCATATGATGACAGTCCTCTATTTGGTTCATGGGAAAGGTGTAACACTATGATAATTTCTTGGCTCAATCGATCCATCTCAGAATCCATTGCACAATCAGTGCTTTGGATGGAGAAAGCAGATGATATATGGAACAACTTGAAAGACAGGTTTGCTCAAACTGATATGTTTAGAATTTCTGATCTTCAAGATGAAATTTTCAAATTGCAGCAAGGAGACAAATGTGTTTCAGATTACTTCACCCAATTAAAGATTTTATGGGATGAATTAGAAAGCTTACAGCCAATTTTACCATCTTGCGCATGTGGAGCAGCAACACAAGTAAAGGATACTCGTGAAAGGGACTATGTAATAAGATTCTTGAAAGGGTTAAATGACCAATTTGAACATGTGAGAGCTCAAGTAATGCTATTAGACCCTCTTCCATGTGTTAACAAAGTATTCTCATTGATTCTTCAGCAAGAAAGGCGCCTGAAAATAGGAGTCCAAGATTCACAATCTTTCATCAATATTGCTGAACAACAAAATTCCAGAGGACAACTAGACAGAGGACAGACTCGATATCATCCAAATTTCAATCAGAACTTCAACCAAGGTTTCAATCAAGGAAGAGGCCAAGGTTTTAATCAAGGAAGAGGCCAAGGTTTCAATCAAGGAAGAGGTCGTGGAAATAAGTTTTGCACATATTGCAAGAGAACAAACCATACCATCGAGACATGCTATCTCAAGCATGGATTTCCACCAGGATACCAAACCAGAAGACCATATGCTGCTGCTGCTGCTACAAACTTTGTTTCACTAGAATTTGATGATAGTGTACACAATACTGATCCAGAACCTGAACCAGAATCTCTGAATCTTGCCTTTTCAAAAGAACAACATCAAGAAATTCTGGAACT